TATCAAAACAAATCACATGCAAGTTCTGCAAGGTCTGCAAGGTTGAAGATTTTTGAAATATATTGAACCCAGGATTTACATATGAAACCAAAGTATGGAAATACAATGAAATACCAAAATACCCTGAAATGTTGAGGTGTCTGTTCAAAAGGTCTGTGAGCTGCAAAACCGCAAATTGGTTTCAATTGGAACAAAAAGAGTTCCAAAATTCAAGAAAGTGCCCAACTGCAGGAGCTGTCAGTATTTGCACATGCAAAATCTGGCCGGGGGAGTGAAGCTGGGCCAGTCCGACCTCTCCATCAGACTCCAACAAAAAATCGTGATGATTTCCGTTGATTTCCAACGGACTCGGCACATGCTTCAACGGATGTCGTCCACTCTACTCGCCCGGGCAACGGCAAAATCCTGAGCTGGCAGTGGGAATGGAATTAAGGTATCAGCGATCAAGCCTGGCCAGAAAATCCCCAAGGTTTCATCATATTGTACATATGTTGTTACTGATGTTCTATTTTCTTCAGACATGTTCTTCACATCCACATGTTTCCACCCAGGTTTGAGTACCCGAAGGTAAACAAAGACAGGGCGTCACCGTTCCCGAGCCCGGCGCCTCATGCCTTCTGTCGCAAGCGCCCCAAGGCCTGTGCCAGGGAACAGTCTCATGTTTCGTATAAGTGACTCTATCTATCTATCCATCCATCCATCCATCCATCCATCTGTACACGTATAGATCCTATAGATGATAGATAGACATAGTGACATAGTATGACATAGTATGACATAGTGATATAATCATTTATATATACATCATATACATCATATGTACCATATATTTAGATATATATGTACCATTATGTACCTAGTAACGTGGCATATATTTAGAGATTCCGCTGCATATCGCCTCTCGAAGCTCTGTGACGTAGAGGCTATCCTCCTTGGCTCCACGAATGGCCAAGGCCTCGGATCCGGAAAACACCGGGAGCCGATACGAAAAAACATGAAGAAATTGTTAGAAATTGTTAGAATATCATATGAATATTATAAAATATCAAAACATATGATATGATATATGACATGATAGGATAGGATAGGATATGATAACATCTGATGGGGTCGTGTTCTGCACCTTTCGGTGCAAAGTGTTTTTGTTCACGGCAGCGTTGCAATGTTGTAGTAGTTGAAACTCCCTCCAAAACCTTGCTTTTCGCGGGATCCCACAGCAGCCGTTTGAGTCAAGGAACCACAAGCTCAGAGATATTCATCCTGACACATCAGCTGAGATTTTTTGGTTGCAAGCTGCTGGTTGGTCTCTATCAGCATGGGTCTTTGTAATCGATAATAACACGGGAGCATGCTGTGACCAAGAACCGGGAGTATGTAACTGACCGAACTTGAGATGTGCAACCGTTGCAACCTCAATAGGGAGAAAGAGTCAGAATACATTACAAACAGAATATAAGCACAACCTGTCAGTGTCCCCTGATCGAGACGATTTCTCTGTTTTGGTCGCCAATTTGAAGAAACGGAAGGCAAGTGCCTGCGCAGAATCTTGTTCAGGTTTCGCACGTACCTTAGACGCAAAAGAGAAGGCCAAAGATAAACACCATGATATCATGAGTCTTCCGAGAATTTTGCGTCCATCTCCCTTCTGCAAAGTGGTCAAGAAAGGTACATATCAAATATCTTCAAACATCTTCAAACATCCAAACATCATACAACCAGCTGTCAACTCCCTATCCCGCAGGAAATTCGTCTGCAGCGCCTGAGTTCCCCAGCCGCTCTGCCACATGTTCCGAGTCCTCCAACTTCACGGGCTGCAAGGTGGCCAAGCGCCTCTCCCAAAGCTGCATGATCTCTCCAATTGCCGCCCCAGCCATGTAGTGCCTGGGTGCTCAGCTCAGATGGCAAGTAAGGGCCCCATGGTACCGGTTGGAGATCACCATGTTGTTTCCATATTTCTCTGCCCCATCGAAAACCAAGTTTCTGCTCGGCTCTACCGCGCACTGCTCGCTGCAACATCTCCTGGAGCAGACTGAACAACTTTATACAATTTTCCTTGCTCTCCTGGAACCGAAAGATGGAAAGAAGCCATGTGGATAATACTGGAAATCCTGGAGAATGGAGTATATGGAGTCCCTCACTCAAAAGATTGGTTTTGAATGTTTTTGGCCCTTTCGGTCGACTCACTTCCAATCTCGGTCCAGAAGGATGTTCTCTGGAAGAGACTGCAGTACCAGCCGCTGGCGCTTGTCCAGCTTTGGTGCCTCGGAAAGCGCATGGATGGCAGGCCACTGTGGCCAGCGCCAGTTTAGGATCATCCATTCGATCCTAAGCCGCCACACCCGCTCCCCATGTGGAAGGTGACAATAGCCGCAGTTGGCACCATTCTCGCAGCAACCTTTTGCCTCAACCCACATCCGCACCGTTTACATCCGGGCACACCAATATGATGCGACGGATGATGTAGGCATGTTAACCTCAATTTCCCGGCACTTTCTCCAAGAATTTCTCTCCGCCACAGTGAGGTGAACCAGGCTTCGGACGAAGTAGAAGCACGGGCGCCTGGCTCGAACTCCGAACAAGTCCATCTTGGAGAGGCACCGACTATTGACAATACATGACAATACATGATAATACACGATAATACTAAGTGTCCCCCAGACCCGGCAAACAAGTTGCCTGTACTCTCTTGGTTGATGTTGATCCTGCAAGATCGAAACCTGCCCCAACATGGTGCCGTCCCAACCTGCAAAGTTCCGGATGTCCAATGCTACCTGCACCGAAACGCCGATATGTTTGGAGCATTCTGGGCCCATGATCAGTGTGGCCTTCCCTTCCACCTGAACATGAGTTGTCCTCTGGTGGATGGCAGAAAGAGTCCACCCCGCCTTCACTCGCAACCACATCCTGCAGCAAAGCTGTATTGGAGGTTGACTCGGTAGCCCCGGCTTCAACGCTAAAGCGGGTAGTTTGGCCATCCCGTGGTTCCCCGTGACTCGTTGGCTCAAAATTCTTGGACCAAGTTACTAAGGTTTTCTCAAAAAGCCTCCCAAATCGAGGAATCAACGACGAAATGTCTGGAGTCACTTCACTCCTGGTCACTGCAGCTCATGGGCTGCTGTGGCAACTGTGAAGGCTGCAAGACTGGAACCACCTCAGAAGCCGGTCTCACCACCCTGGAGCCTGCACACACCGTGAGAAACCAGCATGGGATATGTCTCAAAGCTGAGCTGAAGTAGCTTAATCTGTGCAAGGTCAAGTTCATGAAAATGTGTATGTATTATATATACATATAATTATAAATATATATATATATACACAGATACATATATACATACGTAATCATACGTATACAGTATATACATGTATTGTATTGTGTACCTGCACCTCTGTCTCCGGTACGTCCCTCAGCAAATGAATGGGGTACCGGTGTGGCGGACTGGGTCCTGTGCCTGTGGCTGCGCCTGCCTCTCCTGCTGCAAAGGCATCAACGGAAAGGCCTGGGACCAGGGCAACGTCTCGCACTTACAGATGTCCTTGTCTGACACTTGCATACAATTGCCAGTGTTGACTACAAGCGGCACTCCCACATCAACATCAAAATCAACATCAACATCATCATTTGGATTTAAACATCGTTGATCTATTGTGATTTGTCCCTTTGTGTTTTTCAACGGGGTACCCCAAAAAATCTGCCGGACCCAGCCTGGATGAAACCGCCCGGAGAGGTGGGGCTGGCAACTTTCACATCCTGGGGATCAGCTCGGAGTAGCGCTGGTGAAACCCCGATTGAGATGATCTAAACATGGTTTAAACATGGTTTTGCCTGAAAATCTAGGGAAAACCCCAAAATCCATTGATAATTTTAAGTTGTATTAGTTATATATATATATATATATGTGATTCAGAAATTTACCCATGAACACAGCCATTTCGGGCGCTTTTGTCGTTCCAGAGACACCCACATGAACCTGGTGAACGCTGCATCAGCATGTCCTTCGGGCTATCACCACCAATCAAGAAACAGTTGAAAGGTGTTGGAATGTTTGTGGGCTGCAAGTAGACCTGGGCCGGAAAGCACTTGACTTTTGTCCAAAAACGCACGGTTCACTTTCGTCATAACACCAAGAAATCCTTGCAAAGATTTCTGTTGAACATGTGTTCTCTCAACATCAAAATCATCAAAATCATCAAAATAATCAAATCATCCCAAAGATTCCAAAGATCAAAATCCAACGTTGTACCCACAGTCGCTTTTGCTCGGCTCTCCCACAGCCTTGGAAGGTGCAGGAGCCGCCTGCAGCGTAGCATGGCTAAAAGCCTATTGCTTCAATAGGTGAGGGGATGAACATTTGATGAACATTTGATGAACATCCAGTTACATCCTGGGTGAGAAGGGTACCAGGGCGAATTGACCGCTTAAATCACTTCAAGCTATTGCCGAAGATCTCTGCCTGCGGCAGGTTTTGGAACTGGCCGTTCAGCACATAGCCCTCAGTTTCAGGCCAAAACTTCAGAAAACAGCCGAAAGTTCTGAATTCCTCCTGGAAAGAAATCTTAAAAGAAACATTCAAATGGAACAAGGCAATGATACAACCGAGTTGCTGGAGCCTCTTGGCTGATGGGCAGCATCTTGCTGAAGCCATCCTAGATGAAGCAAGATTGATGAAACAGCATCCATCATCATCCATCTAACAGTGAAGGTGATTCATTTCCCTCTGACACCCTGCGTTTCAGCAAGCGTCGTTGACATTAGAGAAAGATCCACTGTTGGTTTGGGTGTTTAAATTCCCATTTGTCCCACCAACTCTTTCATCGAGCCTGTGATCCCAATGGACGAAAGCCAGCGGGAGCCTGGCAACAAGGACGGTAGTCACATCGTCAAAGAGATGTCATATTCGTTGGAGGCTGTCATAGGCTGTCTGAAACTTCCCAAAAATCATCTCCGTTGGATCTTCAACCAAGCTTCCGAAGCGGAAGAAGCTCCGCCCCCAGCAACAGCCCTGCCTGGCCAAAGTTCCTCTGCCCATTTGGCATGACCTGGCAATGGCAAAGGACACCGTGCTTTGGTAATGGCAATGCTAGTGGATGAAGCCATGACCTTCAAGTACTTTTTGACACGCAGAACATGAGAAAACCATCTCCTGTGTACAAAGGAGTCTACTAAGTCTACTATAGTAGTTATTTGAAATCAGTTGAAAGATACAATTTTGCAATCACCGACATCACACCTGGTCCATCCTTGGTTGCTGGTGTTGCTGGTGTTGCTGAAACACCTGCCCATGCCATGGCCCAAAACAAGTGAAACTGCCATGGTCTCTGAATCTTCAGCAAAATCCAGGGTCTGTGGCTCCATTCATGTGGGATCATGTGGGTATGGTTCAAGGGTTCAAGACACTTCAAGACCATATAATCTTGTGGATACACATGATTCACATGATGAATATCTATATACATATCGATACATATCGATACATATCGATACATATCGATACATATCGATATACATATCTATACATACTGTATCTTACGATTCTATGTTTTTTATTGTTTTTCACTGTTTCACCGTACCCATTTGCAGTTGAAAACATGGCTCTCTGCCAATTTGGGTCTGAAACACCGCACCTCCGTACCACCAGGTGCTCGATTGGCAAAGTTGGTGGGAGCGGATTGCATCGGCATCTGGCAGGCTGGTCTCTCCGTAGGTCTGAAACAGACTCGACTCGACCCGTGGCCCATTTCCGTATCATGAAGTTTCCAAGGAAAATTGATAAGTTGATATCAGATGAGATCAGTGTATATAAGTTGTATGTTTCCTACTACTTTAACGGTTATTTCATGTTGGTTCCTTCTCTTGCACCTATCACTGGAACTGGGAGAGGTGGACCAGTTCACTTGTTGCGTCATTCTGCCCGCCTGAAGTCTGTCAAAGACCTGGAAGAATGGAACAGCATAGACTTCCCATGTGGATTGGTCGAACACAGGTAGTGCATGTGACTTTGGTTTTGGTACATATATCTCGGCCTCTGACTTTGCCTATATATAATTATATATATATTATGTATATTATATATATATATGTATATAGATAAAGAAAGTCACTTTGCCCTAAATGTCAAAACCGACTACTAGCCGCATGCCTATATGTTTTTTTAAAAGCACCCGGTAACCACAAACTTAAAGTGAAAATAAATTTGCAGATTTTGTTCCTTATCAACCCTGCCTGTCGCTCCTGAAACATGTCTGAAGGCATTGCTGGCATGGCCTGCACAAAGGTCACCGTACAAAACAGGCAGATACAAGGTCAAAAATATCAACACATGTCAACCGAATGCGAACATTTTTCACTCTCGATCCGTCCCAGACCAACCTCAACTGGACCTATGTTCATCCCAGGGTAACGCTTCTGAAACTGCCTGGCAAAAAGGACAGGTCACCGATGCCTATGCTGAAGGACATTGGTGAGGTGTCTTACCAACTTCTCAACCAGCATCTCTGCCACCATTCCAAGGGCAAACAAATGCTGTCGAGAGTCATTCCCAAATCCATTTTTGCGGATGCCTGCCAAGGTCAGGGGAGAGCCATGAATCACTGAGTCACCAGGACTGACACTACAGGATAATAGCGGGCTGCTTCAAAAAAAAGACCCCCGAAAGCCACCTAGCAGACCTAGCAGATAAAATCACTTACCCGGAAAAGCAAAATGCAGCTGACCTTCTAAATTTTCCGCTGGTAAAACTGGGAGCACAAGAAAAACTGCGGTTCCAAGCCAGAAACATCACGCAGGACGGCGAGCCGCGATTGCCCGAAACCAAATGATGATCCAAGGTACCAGAAAATAGAAATGAGGCAGCACGGTGAGCGTGTGACCAACTTCAAAGTGTATGCTCTTAAGTTTGAATCTGCATTTTCTGGCAAATCGAAATCGGCCTGACCTGATTTGATCAATAATATGACAAAGAGATGAAAACTGCATGTGCACCGTGGCAGGTGGCAACTTCGTACCATTTGCACTCTCATCAACCGCAAAGACCATTCGAGCCCTTTGCACGAGGTCAGTTGACATCTCACTGTTTCACGCAACAATCAAGCTAAAAGTGCAGACATGTTTGCAAGTTGAAGATGATTAGAACCATCGCAGTCTAGCCACCATATGGAGGGCAGTATATAGGTTCTGCAGGATCAAACTCATCTGCCCGAGGTTTTGACATTTGCTCTAGGACCATATAAAGTTGGTTACCATCAGAAAATCAACTGCTACTGCTGCTCTTTCTCTTCCTTCTCCTTGGGCAAATCCAAGTCCCACGGACCTTTCATTCTTGGAGTCTACTCTGGGAAGCTTGGGAAAAGAGATTATTTTGAAAGCCTAGTGCACATTTTCCAAGGACACGTTTTAATTTCATCGATCAGAAGGTTCAGGACATGGTTCATAAACTATATGTCAACATCTGCAAATAAAATCAGTGTTACAAAATGTTGGTCAAACCAATTTTTCTCACAGTGTCCGCAGTGGTGTCAGCAGTGGTGTCAGCAGTCAGCAGTGGTGTCAGCGGTGCCCGAGGCTACCGAGGCTACGACTTCTTGGACGGGCTTCGTTTCGGGCTTCGTTTCTTCCGCGGACTGGAGCTTTTCTTCCGCCTGGCTCGCCTGGAGGAGCTTCGCCGGCTCTTTTTCTTGTCCTTGATGGAGCGTGCAGCATCAGCAGCATCCATTGTTATCGGTTTTTCACTTCTTTCATGTAATGTTTCAGAGGGGTTGCTTTGAGGGTGGAAATTGAAATCGCGGAAAGCGGCCACTTGCGGCCACTTGCGGCCACTTGCGGCCACTTGCGGCCACTCACTTGGAACTGTCTGGAGCGGCCACTTGCGGCCACTTGCGGCCACTTGCGGCCACTTGCGGTCACTCACTTGGCACTGTCTGGAGCAGCCGCTTGTGGCCCTTGCTTGGAATTTTGCGGAACTTGCGGCCGCTTGCTCCAGCGGCCACTTGCGGCCACTTGCGGCCCCTTGCGGCCACTCACTGCGGCCACTTGCAGACACTCACTTGGAACTGTCTGGAGCGGCCACTTGCGGCCACTTGCGGCCACTTGCGGTCACTCACTTGGAACTGTCTGGAGCAGCCGCTTGTGGCCCTTGCTGCGGCCACTTGCGGCCACTCACTGCGGCCACTTGCAGACACTCACTTGGAACTGTCTGGAGCGGCCACTTGCGGCCACTTGCGGTCACTCACTTGGAACTGTCTGGAGCAGCCGCTTGTGGCCCTTGCTGCGGCCACTTGCGGCCACTCACTGCGGCCACTTGCAGACACTCACTTGGAACTGTCTGGAGCGGCCACTTGCGGCCACTTGCGGCCACTTGCGGTCACTCACTTGGAACTGTCTGGAGCAGCCGCTTGTGGCCCTTGCTGCGGCCACTTGCGGCCACTCACTGCGGCCACTTGCAGACACTCACTTGGAACTGTCTGGAGCGGCCACTTGCCGCCACTCACTTGGAACCAAGGAACACCCTCGAGACAAGTTCCAGCAGGGTTCTAGTCTTGTGAAAAAAACCTCTGAAAGCAAATCAGGCTAGCATGCAAGCCCTCGTAAAAGAAAGCCAGGTCCACGTGACGCAGGAATAGCCAAACATTAATCTGTCTCTTCGCTCCTCCAGTGGACCACATGAAATTTAACAGCCGAAGAAGATGGACCTCAGGGGGTCAACAAGCTCATAGAGCTCTCGAAATGAACATCGAAAACCACGGATCGAACCGTACCGCAGTAGTGAGTGCTAATCGAAGGAGATCATGCACTAACCATATGCAGGCGCAGTTCTCTGAGCTGCTCAAGTGCACAGGCCTCCCGAGCACGTGAGCGCCAGGTTCCGTATAGGAACCCTCGTGTGGAGACAAAGCCGATCTCGGATCGAAGAGAACGACAAGAACACCAAGGTGTAGGGCCACAATCCAGACTCCATGCAAATTATCAAACGGACCGCACAGCGCAGCCAGCAACACGAAAGAGCACCAACTGTACAAGCCAGCGAACTCCGGAAAAGAAGTGCAGGAAAACCAAACATGCACAAAACCTGGCCCATCGGCAAACGCAAAATAAGGCAAAGGTCATTCCAGTTTGCGAGACGCCATATGCAATTGGCACTGAACCAAGATGAAGGTCACATTGCGGTAGCTTGACGAAGCATGCTCATGATGCAGAAACCGAAATTTGGGACCAGAATGTATCAAGCCATCACCAGTTCAACTGAGGAAAAGGGGAGACCACCAGGCAAAAATCGTTCCATGCTATCCACACACGAAGATCAGCGCCGAATCAGCCAAACGAAAAGCCGTACATAGCTAAAGAAGCTCCAGCAAGAAGAAGCAGCAGAGCTGCCAACCAAGGAACCCATCGTGTAAGTAGCGAAGGTGCCACACATAGCTGGAGAGATTTACGTCAGGTCAAGTCCCGCTGTTGTCCAACAGCCCCTCTCCAGATGGGAAAAAGTAACCTCAGCCTTGCAAAAATCCGAAGGGTCGAAGCATCCCACAGGATCCATGGCACCAATCTGGGACTCCTCGCTGAAATTGCACACCGCATGCTTGCGGGCAACTGGTTTCTAGGCACCAAAGCTCAACAGGAGTAGAGCCATGAAGTGTGACGCTGAGTGCTCGGAGGGCCAGGTGCCTTACAGTAGCATCCACGCAAGGCACCGCATGGACGCCAGCAGCAAGGAGAGTCTTTCCAGCAGCCATTTCACAAGTTGGTGGTCTCCCAAGAGAAAGGCTGAGGGTTTGAGCAAACAATCTGGAACCAAAGAAATCAAATCTTTGCACAATAATTGGAACAAAGAACACCGCGGGACAACGACAAGCAATCTAATCAAAATGGTCCAAAAGAAGAACAAGTGGAAATTCATGGAAATTCCATTTCTTGAGTGTCAGTGTGTCTGCTCTACTTCACATGACTGGTTCAAGTAGATGGCTGTGACGCTTTCTTTTGGACACCCAGCGGCACAAGTACTTGAATGAGTGCTCAAGTTGGCCAGGATTCTCGGTCCTTGTCTCTCTGCTTGGCTCTCTCCTTTTCTTTTTCTTTCTCACGTTTTTCCTGACGATTCTGCAGGATTCAGCTTTGCAACTGAGAACAGCAAACTAGACGACGGATGGCCCGAGAGCGTAGAGGAGTATAGTGAGAGGTATAAGTATGAAGATCTCATATATAGCATGAAACAGAAATTTACAAATATACGATGATGCGTAAAATTTGTAAAATGAGGAGACGTGGTGCAGACATGTTGTGAAAAGTAGGTACATATGAAGAAATTGAAGGAGAAAGAAAAGAAAGATGAAACGAAGGAGACACAGGAAGAAGAATTGAGACATACATTTTTACATACAAGCACGCTCATACGTACAAACATGCCTCACACACAGATTCTTTACCGCACCAACGTTTTTACACACAATCGTTTTTTGCGCACAAAAACTGTTACACACACAAACACGTTTACACACAGACTCTTTCGCACAAACCCTTTTACACACAAACATCACAAACACTTTTACACACAATCCTTTTACACACAAACACTTTTACACACAAACATCACAAACACTTTTACACGCAATCCTTTTACACACAAACACTTTTACACGCAGACGCTTTTACACACAGACCCTTTCACACACAAACTCTTTTACACACAATCGCTTTTACACACAAGAATGTTTACACACAAACGCTTACACACAAACTCTGTTACACACACAAACACTTTTACACACAATCCTTGTACACACACAAACGCTTTTGCACACAAACCCTTTCGCACACACCGTCTTCTACACTCAAACCTCATTTCGTGCGAAAAGGTTGCCGCCGGACCCTCCAAACTCGCCAAAAACCTTCAGTTTTTGATACTCGAACCTCGTTTTGTGCGAAAGGGTTGCAGCCGGACCATCCAAACTCGCAAAAAAAACAGTTTTTCACACTCAAACCTCGTTTCGTGCGAAAGGGTTGCCGCACTGTGAAAGCGCAATTTTACTTCTTTTGTTTTTGACACTCGAATCCTATTTCGTGCGGAAGGGTTGCCGCGGGACCATCCAAACTCGCAAAAACCTTCAGTTTTTGACACTCGAAACTCGTTTCGTGCGAAAGTGTTGCCGCCGGACCATCCAAACTCGCGAAAAATTGACAGTTTTTGACACTCGAACCTTATTTTGTGCGAAAAGGTTGCCGCCGAGGATGTAAAATCACCACCTCAAGTTTTTGACACTCGAATCTCATTTCGTGCGAAAGGGTTGCCGCCGGACCATGCAAACTCGAACCTCGTTTCGTGAGAAAGGGTTGCCCCGGACACTGTAAAATCGCAATTTCACCTCAGTTTTTGAGACTCGAACCTCATTTCGTGCAAAGCGGTTGCGGCCGGACCATCCAAACTCGCAAAAACCCACAGTTTTTGACACTTGAACCTCATTTCGTGCGAAAGGGTGGCCATATCGGCGCCTCTTCCGCACTGCCTGCGGTCTTAACAAAGAAAAGAAAAAGAAGGAGAGAGACCGTGACAAAGGGCAAGAGACAGAGCGAGCGAGCGAGCGAGCGAGCGAGGGAGAGAGAGAGAGAGAGAGAGAGATAGAGAGAGAGAGAGAGGGAGGGGAGGGAGAGAAGATGTGACGATGTGACGATGTGAAGATGAGAAGATGCGAAGATGTGAAGATGTGAAGATGTGAAGATGTGCAGATGTGAGGATATGAAGATGTGAAGATATGAAGATGTGAAGATGAGAAGATGTAAAGATGTGAAGATGTGAAGATAAGAAGATGAGAAGATGAGAAGATAGCAGACCCCCACTTTTAGAAGAACCCTTTGCTCAAACGCTCTCGGGAAAAAAAACTTAAACCCTACAATATCCCTAAACCCTAGCCCAAATGCTGCCAAAAAATGCACTTGTTGGTACTTGATTTGTTGTGGGTCCAGGAATTAAAGAAAGGAACTGGATCAGAGTTTACAGACTCCACCGCCTTCTCTTTGGAAGGACTCGTTTTGCGAGCCTTGCACGATAGACTGCAGGAAAGTCATACAAATCATACAATGATGTGAGACGATAAGAGATGCATCATGGCTCTTGGCAGAAACAAGCAGAGCCTTAAAACCAACTCAACAGCTCCACCATCTCAAACTTGGCTCCAATCATCACAACGAACTTCCAGAAATCTTCCAGCACCTTGCCACCATCTCTGGAGCGGCTGGCTGCCTGTTTGACCTACACAGCATGATGATGGGGCTGGTGACACTCAAATCATTTAAAAAAAAGGCTCGGCTCAACTCAAAAGAATCAGCTTCATGCAAAACCAAGAGCTGCTGTGCAAAGAAATCTTACACCTGAAGAACGCAACTTGGCATGTGAAGACTCAAAGTCTACACCAGTCAATACTATCCAGTGGTGTTTGGCAGCAACAAAGGTGTCTCAAGCCAAAACAAGTGATATCAGTCAAAACAAAGGTGTCACAGAAAAGACTTCGGACCTGGTCTCGATTTCGTCTCCGGCCATTTCGGCCTGTTTCAGTGATCGAATCGTCGAATCGCGAAGCAAAGCTCTCACTTACAGCGATCACCGAGTGTCAAGTTGTCAAGTTGTCGATCTGGATCAAACTTTCAGATTGCCGGTACAACGCAGTCTGAGTCGGAGTCCAGAAGGATGGCAAGCGCCTGCAAAGGGGTCCTGCGCATTTTCATCCACCACTTCTCCCACATCAGCGCCGCCCAAGGCCTCTCGAGCCTCAAGCAGCCAGAGAAGTGCTACGAACCAATTGTCCACTGGATTTGTGAGAAAAAAGTAGTAAAAATGATACCATTCTAGTGGGGTAAATGGGGAAAATGATGATCAATCATGAGATTTTGGCGGTCCCCTTCAAACAAACCACACCGTGGCCTTTTGCGCTTCTTCTGTGACCTTCTTCAGGGCTTCTCGGCATCGTTTCCAGCCCTCACAGTTTAAGATCTCAAGAGGTCTAACCAGATCCAACCAAGTCGAACCATATGCAGCAGTATCTGCGAAACTCACACTTAAAGCATCATAAAGAATCATAAATGATACAGAGATACTTTTCTCAACTCTGGAAACGAAGTCCATCGTTGCCTGATGCCAAGCTCCTGGAACATGTGGATGTTCTCGGCCCTTGGAGCGAGCCTGTGCAAGCCACGACACCGCCGGACACTGCCGGACACCGCCGGACACCGCCGGACACCGCCGGAGAACGGGAACAAAACATCCGTGGATACTAGTTGTTCCTAGCATCCCAACTGCGATTCTATATAGTTGTGATCTAGAAAAACCTGCTGAAGTCATGTCCACCTGAAGTGTGAGAAAGCTCTTATGATTCTCATGAAATTGTTATTGTTCTCGGCATGCCTCAAGCTCCTCAACAGCACGCCAGGAGATTTGAGATCCGCAAACTTCACAGCACTCCTGGGCTACGGAAACGGCGCTGCGTGTCTCAACAGCATCGCCAAGGGCGACCAAGGCGCGTCCAGCCAACCTTCAGCCACCTCCTGGGCCATGGATGCCATGGATGCCATGGATGGGGGTAATTACAACGATACCCCACAGATAAACCACGGATGCGACTGCACCACCCAGCAGCAGACTCGTGATGACTCATCACTTGTCCTTGAGCCGGTTCAACCGGAACTTCTGATGGGCGATCTCATCCTGACGCAAAACATGAAGAGATCCAGAAAGACGTGTCTCCCACAGTCCGTCTGAAGTGTTTCTTTTGTCCGGGGGTGCTGTGTTTTGAAACTTCCTACATCCAATACATCCCTCCCATTTCGGTATCATGGGTCAAAATCAAAGCACCTCCAAGAACTCTAAGTTGCCACACCTATTCCTTGTATTTCCTGGTTATATTTCTGCGACCGAGGTGCAGCTTCTTCCATAGCTTGCTTGCTAACCTCCAGATTGCCCTCCTCCGGAACTGACATGAACTGACCATGGCATTCACCCGAAAACGAAACAGTTCTATTTTGCAAGTTCTCCACGAAGGACAGCTGCATTGTGATTTTCGTGCGACACCTCGAGCATTGTGGAAGAAACATCTCCTCCGCCATTTTTTCGGCAGCTTGAAGTTTCTCGTGTGCAAGCGCTTCTCTTTCAGAGATGTGACCTTTGCGCACCAGGAAATGCACACGCACATGGCTGAGCCTTTTTGGCAAATGCTTGACTGATCAGCAGAAAACGGATTCCCTCAGTAAAATATAGCAGCAATTCTGACCTCATCACTCTGCGCCATGTCTTAAGCCAAGTGTCCTTCAACTGCTTTGTGAGTATCAGCTGTGCAGGTCACTCCCTCCTTCAGCTTTTCTTTCCTGAACTTGCAACTTAGGTGGATCGTTGGAGTCCACCCCCTACTGACCAGCATCACATGTTTTCATCTGGAGGTTTGACAAAGTATGGAATAAGAGCACAAAAGCAAGTGCAACTATACTGCAGCCAAGGAACACTTTCTCTGCTTTTTTGTTGTTGTCATCAACAAGTTTCTGCAAGAAGACTCCTTGTCCAAACAAGTGCAACAAGATAACTTGCTACGCTGCTACAGCGTCTCTCGTTTGATCCAGGCATTCCGCAGTACACTTGTTTCAGTTGTGCCGAGTATCTTAGGTCTTCCAAATATCGCCAGTGATATCTGACCTCGGGATTCGTGGTACCCGTTGTACCCCGGAGTGTTTACAAAGGGTCTAGCTGCCAGCATCATTGAAGGACAAGTTCTTCATTTCGGACAATGATCTCTAACATCACTCCACAAGAATCTGTTTGTTTTGTTTTTTTTCTCTGTATTCCGACATCGATCGGCTTGATGGGGTGGAGACATCTTGGTTGTCGTTGGGTCTCCCTGCGTAATCCTTGTCCTCCTTCAAACGTTCTCGCATCGCCTGGAGACTCAGAGCCAGTCTCAGAGCCACTGAAGCCACTTGGCAAACTCTGTTTTCTCAGTCGGAACATTACCTTCTGCTAGCATTTTCAAACTATCTGTGCATCCCAGAACTGTAGAACACCGAGGGAATAACAGTTGCAAATAAACACATGGTTGTCAGGTGGTCCTCGACAAAAGATCAGGATGCTTAATTCAAGGCTTGTATTGCTTCTATCAAAGAAAAAATGGAGAAGAAAAGACATAAAAAATCAAACTCCGCAAGCTCGACCTCTGAATGCTGCTTTTTGCACGGTCCGACGGGGCTATTGGGCGATGCCTTCCCACCCTGAGCAGAATCTGGAATCATCTGGAGTGAAGAAGTGGAACTGCTTACGTGATTGATTTACACCATTTACATGGAATAAATGACTGGCTTTCACTCATCCATCATGGCAATTGGTGTTGTTCAGGTACTCAGATAATACTCAGATGTCATGCTGCGATCATGGAATAGCATGGCTACGGGGGCTACGGGGCTACGGGGCAGGCCTGGTTCACCCACATCTCGTGAGGGCAGTCACCGACCAAGTGGTACTTGCAAACATCAGCATCCTGACGAGCTCTGGTGGCAGGTGGCAGTTTGTACAGTGCATGCTATTTCGTCTGTTCCGCTGAGGACCTGCACTGGCTTTTGATCAACTCATGAGAAAATAATATGGTGTCTTGCCAATACGTTCCATCTACCAATTGTAATTGATCTAGCATCAGACTCCACTGTCCCATCCAACGTGTAGCCATCGCAGTCCCGCATCGCTGTCCATCGCTGTCTGTCCATCGCTGTCCTTGAAGCTTTGTCGCTTGGAGTCAGGAGCAGAATTTCGATCCTGGCGGAAGCGGACGCTACGCCGCTGCGCTATGCTGTGCCATGCGACTCCGAGACCCATCCCTGGTCCCCCTGGTCCTTCCCCATGAGCGAGTCCAATAAGGCCCGGGTGGCGTCCATCTTTGCTTCGTGGCCCAAAGAGACGCCCTGACTCCAAGTTGCAACAAGTTAGGCCTATCAGATCCCGTTGGACCGCACGCTGCGGCCAACGTCGGCAAAGTCAGGCCGAATGTGCGTCCGCACAATGAACATCAATGAATTTAAATGAACTTCAAAGCACTTCAATGAACATCAGTGAACGTAAATGAACAACAATCAATTTCAATGCACTTCAATGAACTTCAATGAACCATGACTATCCTGAACTGTCCACTTGCATCTGGAACATGTGGATCTAAGGGTCATGTCGAACGTATGGACGGCGGCTAAAGAGCCAAAGCTACAGGACAAGGCATGGGGGGAAGCCGAACCAAGAGAACCGTGACGTCCGTGACGTGAATGAATAGTTTGCCAGATCTTATGGTGAGGTCTCATCATGTCTCATCTATATGCACAAATGCACAACCAATTTCGAAGGAACAATACGTACAACTGAACCCTGGGCATCGTCACAACATATCCATTGATGCAAATCAGATCAAGACTCAAATTGTAGATTAAATATATATATATATATGTTTGAAGGCGCAGTCCAAACCTTTTGACCAAATTTCCGGTGTTTTCACTGATGCAACGAGGAAAATGTCAGAACAATATGACTGCTGATCTTTGCCTTGCCACCTTGCCTGCAACCATTTTCCCCATCCAAGTTTGACACTGAAAAAGAGGATGGTTCCACAAACACTGTGGTTGTTACCTTGGTCCGTTGCAGGCTTCGGTGCAAACATCTTGTCCTGGATGTCAGACATCTTTGAACCATTTTTCAATCACAGAATTCAATTTCCGTTTCGACACCTGGAAAGGTACCTGGAATGGACACGTGCACGTGCCATCTAGGGTCTCTGCAGCCAAAGCCAGGCAAACCGCAATGGCTCCTGTTTCACATGTTCCAAATGTTGATACCTTCGGGAAGACTGGACCATGATGGACACTGACTCAAACAAACCCAAGGGGGTTTTACTAAGGTTTTATCTGGAATAGAATAGATCTGGAATTCTGATGAACTGATCAAACCTGGCGGCCAAAGGTGCTTACGGACCGGAGTCCTGCAGTGAGCCGGTTTCTCATTCCGTTTCAAGTTGACCTGAAAGTTCATAGTCGAAATGGGTGACAGTCGGAAAACAAGGATGAAACCTCGGCGTTTGTTCAGTAAACGTCAACTTTAGCCTTTCACACACAGCTGGCAACTCCGCGGAAGAAACACAAACACAAATGCCAGTCCCCAGCAACAATTCGGCAGCAACATTTTTCCGAACATTTTGAGATGCAGTATGTTTTCTGTGTTGTTTGATTTGTTTTTTTGATATATTTTTCTGGAATCCTTGATTTTGTAAAACAATCCAAGTCCAGATCCGAAGAGTTGCGAGGCTCTGACGTGGTGGGCACTGTGTCGCGCGCCCAACACCTAGCCCAGCGCGCCGTTTCTGGAGCCAATCATTGCCCGATTGCCAACCTGATGAACAGTAGCATGCCCTGACAATTTTGGTTCATCATGTCGCAAAATCAGACGAGGATTTACATCCAGTTGATAAGCCATTGCCGCAATAAAAGATACCAATTTCCGGGATTGATTGATAACCCCGCAATAAACTATGCGATTTTTTGTTTTTCATGTGTTTAATGGCACGAAAACAAACAACTTCGAGGTCGTGAATCTGTGTTTTTTATAAGGCATTTTGTTTGAAAAAAACAAACACGCAAAGAGCGCACTCCCAAAATATCCCGACAAATGGATTCAAAAACACGCTCGACCACTCATCACTGCGACATTGTTTGAAATGCGTTGGATTTCGGTGACCGCAACTTCCACCTAACACGCAACCCACGAATCGGGTTACGCTCCATATACATTGAAACATAGAGATCTTCACCCAAAACAAAACATGTAGAAATCACGTAGCACAGCTGAAGCATGCACCGACAAGGATTTTCCCACAGTTTCCCACCAATACCACCTCTTTTTTGAAAGAATCACACGCGAGAACTTCAAACAAAATCCATCAGTGTGAAATCAACAAAATTTATTTCACTTTGGGTCGTTGTTTTTTGGCAACACACCATCACAAATCGCTTGCCAAATTTTGTTCATGGTAAATATTGCGCAGGCCTGTGGAGTGGCCGAAGCATGAAAATGAAAATTTTGCTACTGTCATGTGCCAATTGTACCAACAAATTGTTTCTCTCCAATGACGGACAAATGCCATGTTTGTAACCAAACGTGAAAAAAATCCAAATGATTATGATCTCAAAACATTGACGTACTTGAGAAACTGAAGGTCGATGAATCTGGGGAGAAAAATCCCCGCTTCCGCAATTGAACCAAAAATTCAAAGCTGATGAAAGTGTCACGGAAACAATCGACCCCACTTTCGTTTGGTGAATTTTCCAAGGAGCGATCAACCTCTTCTAGCGTGTGTCCAATTTTCCTCTTTCCAAAGTCGCAGAACAACGCATCGATGGGAAACTTCAAATCTTTCCAAGTAACATCAGGCCGATCTTTCGATCAAGTTTGGAAAAAAAACTTTTGCCCCCTCTGATTCAAACGGCGCCTCACACCTTCATCTGCTTCGAATTGAACCAAATATTCCATCAAAACCCACCCGCACCGTTCAGCTGCGGGGGCCATGTTCGCCCGGGACAAGCCGCCAAAAAAGTGCACGGGACTGGCAAATGTTGCAGGGTTCAGGATCGCCCGAACGCACTTTCGATCCGACACGGCCGCAACATTGGCCCGACTTGGCTGCAGTCTTGGCCAGCAAGGCCACAACTTCAGTCCAACTTGGGCCCAGTTGGCTCCAACTTCGGCCCAACTTGGCTGCAAGATCGCGCAACTTGGTCCAACTTGAAGCCATTCGGGATATGGCTTCAAATTTGGGGACATTGCCAGCTTAATCCATAGTCATAGTCCTCAAAACGCCCAGTTTCGTTGGTCAAAGAAAGTTTTTAAGTCAAACTTCCGACAATATGCACGGATGGAAAAGCAAACGTAGGAAGAGACAGAGAAGAGACAGGAAGAAGAGAGAAAATCAAAGAAGAGAAAGAGTCAGAAGAAAGAAGGTGACGGTGTGCGAAAAGGCAAAAAAGTCGCAAAACACTGTGTTTTCCCAACGTTTTGTAGCTCCGGGCGCTCAAGAAGTAGGTTCGCTAAAGCGGCGGCATAGTCATCTGGTCAGATGAGACATGAAAAATTGCACGCCGCTGTGGCACGAAGCACATTTCAAAGTCCAAATGCTAAAAATACTGCAACATCGGAGCACTTTTGGAAGTTGAGATGTAGAAAAAGTGCACGCCGTATTGGCGCGAAGCACATTTGGAAGTCAAAATGCACAAACACACCATTTTCGGAACACTTTTTTGGAAATTGAGATGTCAAAAAAGTGCGCGCCGTTTTGGCGCGAAGCAGATTTCGACGTCATAATGTAGAAAACACTTTTAGTTTTGGACCCTAACAAGTCTGATTCATGTATCTCTCGTATTGCATTTGCCACTCAACATGCATCTTTGCAGATCTTCTTCAAATGTCCCATACCTGCCAACGTTTTTGGAACTGCTACAAAACCTCACGTTTTGTTCACTCTTGGCAAGGTGCAGAACCCCTTATTTCAGATTTGGGAGGCTCAAGAAATTCAAATCAAACAAAGTAAAATAGAGTGATATGTCATTGATTGCACATGAACCCACGGCGCTGACATAGCTCATTTTTTTTACCACGATGGGAGAGTCCGTTGAATGTCAAATTCAAATTGGATGATTTCACAAGTGGTCAACTAATTTCACCTTCTCAACATTGATGGATGGAACTTTCAATCAATCGAATGAAGGAACTATGAAGGGCCAAAGTTCACAAATGTTTGGTTCAGACACAAAATAGATTTTGTCATTGGGAACACATAAACAGACAAGAACATCTTATCCCATCCATTTTCATGGGGAGCAATCAAGCTCCTCCCAAAATTGGCCATTGTATCCAGAAATAAAATCGTTGAACGCTTCACAGTCTTGAGCATTTTGCTCAGCCTGTTCGAGATCATGTTGACGTTCAAGATGTGCATTAAATCCATCGGAGTTGTCTGAGGAATGATCAATTTCTGTGATCAAACTCAGAGCCGGAGAAAAGTCGTTATGGTTCTCTTCAAAGTTTGGCAGCATGCCAAGAACTGGGACATCTCTCATGAACTTAACAAGTAATAACGCAGAAAGGAAATCAGCAGCAGCGAAAAGAACAGAATGTAACAACTCAGGAGTTGGCAGTCCCTTGAAGTGGTGAAACGAATAAGTTCGCGAAGTAGGCCATTGACGAATTGGAAATCATTGATAAATTGATCAAGAGCATCATTGGGAAGAGAAGAGGAGAAGAGGAAAATAGAAGTTGAAGGGTGAGGAACGAAAAAGTTGGCAACTGGCTCAAAATGGCCGGAAAAGGCGGCGTGGATACTGGAGCACAAAAAGGCCCAGCGCCGTCCTGAAAAACTGTCAAATATGTTCTCAAGAATGAAATACAGAATGTTAAGGAGGCGAACAAGCCGAGCACCATTGTCGATATGCATTGAGAGCCACTCACGCAAAGTACCGGCAAAAGTGTCCATATTGCCTGGCAGAAGGAAGAAAAAGGGAGTGGAGGGAGGGGAAAAGAAATTGAGAATGTGAACGAACAAGGGATCAAAAGTTTGGTTTGAATTTTCTTGAGCCAAGGCAACGAAAATCAGAGGAATTTCAGATCTCACAAATATGAAATAAAGAGATGTCTAACTATGTTAGAAATTCATCTTATTTCAGATTTGGGAGGCTCAAGAAATTCAAATCAAACAAAGTAAAATAGAGTGATATGTCATTGATTGCACATGAACCCACGGCGCTGACATAGCTCATTTTTTTACCACGATGGGAGAGTCCGTTGAATGTCAAATTCAACTAATTTCACCTTCTCAACATTGATGGATGGAACTTTCAATCAATCGAATGAAGGAACTATGAAGGGCCAAAGTTCACAAATGTTTGGTTCAGACACAAACTAAATTTTGTCATTGAGAATCACATAAACAAACAAGAACATCTTCTCCCATCCTCAATCGTCTTGGCTGTTATGTCG